AGTACTACATGATACAAGATTGGTTGAATCTGCAGATTCAGAACTAGGTATGGAGGACCAAATATAAAGTTGTCCTCGATTTTCCACTTTCCAGAATGTGGGTGCCCCTAACCCTTGCCAATGTTCAAGGACCAACTGCACAAACAAAGGTCAGGGTAAGTGGACAGGGAGCACGAATCGGAGGTGTGTGCACTGCGATTTTAAACAGGGAAATTTAGGAAGGTATGTTGAGAAAGTGACACTTTAATCAAGATTTGAAGGATGGTACGGTGTTAGTTATGAAGGTATCTGGGGGAAATTTCCAGGGACAGGGAAAAGCCTTAAGTGGATTCCTGGTGAGTACGAGGAAGAGCAGGAAGGCCACTGTGGTTGGAGAGAGTGAGTGAGGGGAGCACAGAAGGAAATGAAGTCTGAGGAGTGTTGGGAGACAAAACTGTTTGCCTTGTGGGACACCGTATGGACTTTGCCCTTTCCCCCGAGAAAAACGGGAGCCATGACAGAGCTGTGAGCAGGGGAGAGACATGAGCTGAAGTGCTTGGACAGGATCACTTTGGCAGCTATGTGGGGAGCAGACTGAAAGGGAGAAAGTGGGAAGGGTAGGAGGTGATTGCAGTGGTTCAGGATGGAAAAGATGGTGGGCTGGACCCAGCAGGCAGCAGCAGAGGTTGTGAGAGGTGGCCAAATTCTGGATGTATTTTGAAGGTGGGGCAGGTAAATTCCCTTGCAGAATGGATGTGCAGCATAAGAGAGAGAGAGACATCAAAAAGACTCAAGAATTTTTGGTCTGAGCTATTGGGAAAATGAAGTTGCCATGAAATAAAATGGGGAAGTCTAGAGTTGAGGCAGCTTTGGAGGGGAGGATAAGAGGTCTGCTCAGGAAAGGTTGTGTATGAGATGACTACTAGGCATCCGAGTGGAGTTGTAGGGTAAGGCAGCTGGCTATGGCAGCCTGGATGTATGGAGATCTTTGAGCTAAAGACAGATTAGGGAGTTATTAGCCTACAGATGGCACGTTGTCTCTAGAGTCATAGAACCTGGATGCCATTGGAGAGGGAGTGACGGTCCCAGGATTTAGCTGTGGGTCACCCCAGCATGAAGAGTTAGAAGAGGATGTTCCAGCAATGGGGACTGAGGAGGAGGGACCTGTGAAGTAGGAAGAGGGCCAGGAGAGTGTGGTGTGCTGGAAACCGAGTGAAGCCAGTGCTTCACAGAAGAGGAAAAGCTCAATGGTCAAATACTGCTGGGAAGGCAAGTAAGAGGGGACTGAAAACTGACCATTGGATTTAACAAGGTGAAGCCCTTGATGAGCCATTTCTGTAGAGTGTGGGGCAAAAGCCACGTGGGAGTTTCAGAGAGAATGGAAGGAGAGAAACTGGAGTAGGGACACCTCATTTGAAGAGTTTAGACACAGAGCAAAGCAGAGAAACCGGGAAATGCCTGGAGAAGAAGTCTTGTTTTCTTTTTCTTTTTAATATGGGAAGGATAACAGCATGTTTATATGCTTATGGGAATGAGAAAAGTTGAGGCCATGGTGGGGTGGAGACGGACGCAGAGTCGCTGGAGCTGATGTCTTTGAGTAGGTGGAAGTCCATGTTGCAGCGTGCTCTTTGCTCAAGTGCTGGAGGCCTAACCCATGTACCCAGACCTGGAGGAGATGAATGTCTAAAATGGAGAGCAGATTTATCACACTATTGTGTGACAGAGAATGGCATTTTTTGTTTGCTCTGGGCACATCCTCTTTCAAAGCACATCAACTTAAAGGTAGAAGATCGCTTTGTTACATAGGATTTTATAACTCCCCTAACTCCCATCCCAAACCTGAGTATTTTCTTCCAGTAAGTCTTTCCCTTGCTAATCTACTGATGTCTCTCTCAAAGGAACTGACACAAGGCCTTCAGAATCAATATAATTTTGCAATAATAAACACTGGTTCTCTTTTTCAGAAAGTGCTCTGTCCCTCCTGTCTCTTTTCATTAGACATATTGGTGGTAACAGAGAGGGTTAGGTTACAGAACAGCTTCTTTTAGTTATGACCCAGTCTCTGGGATGCCCTTTGGAGGTGCTATATGATCTGCTTCTTCTCAAGTCTCTTTAGTGGCACCTTGATAACGCCTCCCTTTGGGTAGGGTGCTTTGGTAGGGGCTGTGCACCCACTGAAAGTTGCTTCTTCTAGTTTTAGTCTTAGAAGACAGCTTGTTTTTTTAAAAATTGAGATATAATTCACATACCATAAACTCCACTATTTTAAAGTGTACAATTCAGTGGTTTTTGGTAGATTCACAAGGTTGTGCATCCACAACTACTATCTAATCTCTGAAGATTTCCATCCCTCCAAAAAAGAAATCCCATACACATTAGCAGCCACTCCCCATCCCCCCTTCCCTCTACCCCTTGGCAACTACTCATCTGATTTCCATCAATCAATTTGCTTATTCTGGACATTTCCTACACATGGATTATATATTATGTGGCCATTTCTGTCCAGCTTCTTTCACTTAGCATAGTGTGTTCCAGGTTCATTTGTGTTCAGCCGTGTTCATACATGATAGCACGTGTCAGTATTTCATTTCCTTTGTGGTTGAATAATACTCCATTGTATGGGCGAACCACATTTTGTTTGTCTGTTCATCAGTTGGTAGACTATGGATCGTTTCTACTTTTTGGTTACTAAGAACAATGGCACTATAAACATTCATGTACAAGCCTCTGTGAGGACATGGATTTTCATTTCTCTTGGGTATGTACCTAGGAATGGAATTGTTGGGTCATATGTTAACACTATGACCTTTTAAGGAACTGCCAAACTCTTTTCCACAGTGTCTGTGCCATTTCACATTCCCAGTCAGCCTTGTATGAGGGTTTCTCCACATCCTCACCAACACTTGTGTGCTTTTTGGTGATAGCCATTCTGGGAGATGTGAACTAAGAGGATGGACCACTCTTGACTTCACATTTTGGGGGTGCCACCTGTTAGACCCCTTTTTGTTACTATTTCCAGTTTACAGGTGTGAAAATAGAGGCACAGACTGATTTCCTGCTTCAGATTTTCCACTTTCTAGTGATGCAGCTGGTGTCTGACTTATAGACCAGTGATCTTTCTACCAGGCTATTGTGATGTCTGTGGCATTCCAGCCAGGAATCCGAAATTTGTATTGGTCTGTCTAAATACAGAAGAGATCTCAGCAGGAAGACTCCGAGGGCTAATTGTGATGGCCTCTGGGAGTGCAAAATATTATTTCTTTCTCCCCATCACCTTCTTAACACAAGAGATAGCCTTACTCTGTATATGTTCTTTAGAACCCAAAGCAGATATCCTCCTATTTATGGGTTTCTCCTTGTTTTCTACTGGACTTCAAGCACTTTGAGGACAGTGATCAAGTCTTAGTATGTATAGAGCTGGACATAATGCCTGGCACAGGGTGGGCCCTCAGGAAATGTGTAAGGAATTAAATTGGATAAATTAGCCAGGATTATAAAAGAATGAGTTTATTATAAATCAGCTTTTTGGAGAAAGAGCACAACAAAAAGATGAGGTATAAACGGTAGGTGATAAAACAGTCATTTTTACATTGTAATTGCCTATACTTCAATTAAAAAAAGCCATTTTTTCTTTATTATGTATCACTGTTTATTAAGAATAACATAGAACTAAGCTTAGCACTTGTATATATATACATTGACTAGCTAAGGCAAAATACAGATCAAGATATGGGCTGGACTGAGGCTATTGATCTATGCAATTTTAGTCTACTTGTAATTTATAAGTGATGCAATTGCGCTGAACTATCTCTAACCTCAAATTCCAAATTTTCCAACTATCTAAAACACACACTGACTCTTTTCCACTGTATTTATAATTAGAATTTTTGTAAAAAGTTAAATTCTATGAAAGCATATAGTAAGAAGTGAAAAAAAAAATCCCCTTTATCGCTCTCCTTACTCCCACACTGAGTATCATACCAGGCTCTAAATTCCTAAGGCCACAAATATTTTGGAGCTTCATTTGGAAGAATGAGAATATTTTAACTTTTCCTGAGTTTGACTTCCTTTAAAGGATGAACACAAAGGTGACAGTCATCAAATTATGCATAAAACAGAGAGTCACTGAACTGGGGAACTTTTTCTCAAGGGACATCTCTTGCCATGGATAGAGGTATGTGATGAATCAGTCTTCACTAATTGTGGATGCGTGAAAGCAGGTCATTTCTTTCATTGCTGATTTTGTCCCAGACAAGCTGTCATTTGTATACAAGGTTAAGAGGGTTCTGAGGTGCAGGTAGGTCAAGTTAAAACACTCTTTGCCTTTCCAAATTTGTAGATACTGTCAGGTATATGTAGAATAGATAAACA